CTAACTTTCGCGCTATCTAGTTTATCTTGCCTTTGAAGGATTCTAACTTGAGCTTCGGAGCCCTTACGCCGGGTTCTCCCCGGAGCTTCTCTTCTCCTTCYGTTTCAGGTCCCTGTTACTCAGTTCAGAGGCAAGATCATCGACAGCTAAGACCGGCCAGATTGTGCATCATCAGGAATATTTGCAAAAGAGAACAAATTACCCAAATGCCTGTTTAATGGATGCTTCAGGTCTAGCTGGGGGGCTGGCCCTGTTCTGGAAATGAAACCTAGATATCCAAATCCTCAAGAAGTCCCATAGGTACATGTTCATTAGTGTCAATTCTTTTCTCCCAGAAACTCTCTGGTTCCTTTGTTTTATTTATGGAAAACCTCAAAAGAGCATAAGATCTAAATTTTGGAAATCCCTAAAAGATTATTTTGTTGAATTTAATAATGGAAATACCCCTATAGTAGTGATAGGAGATTTCAACCTGGACTTAGAGTTTGACTTTTCTCTTGATGGATAAAATAACTGCTTGTTTTAAGCCCAAAGTTGTAAAATCATTCTTGGTACAATGGTAAAGTAGAGGCTGGTTTAACTAGGCATGTGTGGGGTGCCTAACACCTTCTCACACCCACCTTGGTCCCCGGACCCTAAGAATTTTGTCTTCAACAGGTTATGAGTCACCAAGAAAAAAAAAATATTTTTCTTGCAAAATTCTGAGTTTTCCTAAATTCCCATTTCTGAAAATTTTAGGTGGTGACTCCACTCCATATTTTAAACCGTCCTCACTCCAAGTCGATTTTCCACAATATGCATAGGTTTTGGATTTTTAAGCAGCACTCCATGCAAACTAATAAAACATTTAACACCATCTTGATGTACTTGCTTATAAACAACCTAGACTTTCTAAAGTTCCATCGCTACTTTCTGTTCTTGAAGTCATGTGCCAAAATGTTTAGGAAGCATGCAAAACCATTTCCTCTACTCTCATTTTTTTAGTGCTCATTAACTTTCGTATACTTTTAAGCAAATCACATAACCTAATATAGTTTTTATTTATTCTTGTATAGTGTACACATGCGTGGTGGAAAACCATGACCATAGTCTTATGGTTTGATTGACTCAATCTCAATATCATCCTCACTGTCAATGCTTAATACCCTAGTTTTCATCCTCCTACTCCTAGTTGCAATGACATGAATAATCAAGACAACTAAAAAAATAATTCCACTAACATATAATAGTAAATAGAGATAGCAACCACAACCAATTGCTTCTATTTACTCCTATTTTGTGGTGGCCGAGGCATATCTTTGCAAAATATTATTGCATTTATTCAGTTATGGCATTGCACACGATTAAGAGGAGGTTAAATATGATATGTAATGAATAACCATACACATTAGTAGAATATAGTTCAAAAGTTGTTTCTAAACAAGGTTATTACATATGAGAACACCATTTCAATTCAGTTATCTAGTTGAAACATTGTTCTTAAGTTATAACACATGATGGACAACATTGAAATCAAAAATATGTTTGTTTAGTCGTCCATCTTTTTATCAAGCATTCTTGGTTCAAAGCTTGAATGAAAAGAAGGATAATTAAGCTTTTATAATGTTAATTAATGAAGTCAACCATTGATAAAATGGTTTATAATAAGAAAACGTTATAATAACCATGATACACCATTAGTCATAACAATGCATATACTAGCAGAAAGGTTGTAGGGGAAAGTGGAAGGTAAAAGAAAATGAAAAATGAAAATCTTCAAATAGGTTGGATCATGGAGGAAAGGAAATAAGGAATCACATGCACACGAGTGAGACTCATTTTTCCAATTTTACGCCATGATCAAACCCATGTGTAACCGGATTATTGGAACCAGTTGGGGAGCGTTCATACTTCATGCTTCGAACCGATCCGGTTCAATGGTTAAAAAACAGTTCAACCCTGCGTATGTATGAAAGCGTCGATCGGATTGTTGGACCAAGTCGTCGCCACCTGGCTCCTGCATTCATTGCCACTAGCCATTGGATGTTCCGTATGTACTGTTAACCGTTGATCGCCGGTTAACCATTTTAAAGAACCTCCAACTTGTTCTCTTCTCCCTCGAACCCCTCTCTTCATGTTCACACAAATCTAGGTAGCTCTTTTCTCTCTCTTTTCCTATCTTATTGCGCAAGACAGAGAACACAAACACAATGGGACAGGGGGGAGAGAAATCAACTAACAGCAAAAGGGACAATGGCAACGAAGCAACCAGAGAAAGAAATGAAAGATCTCTCGTTTTGATCGGTTGATTGAGAAGAAAGAGAACAAAGGAGAACACCCAAATCATCACTTCCGGAGACGTCTGAGGTGTTGAATTTGCCAGTAACAAATCTAGGTAGCTCTTTTCTTTCTCTCTTTTCTTATCTTACTACGCAAGACAAAGAACACAGACGCAAAGGGACAGAGGGGGGAGAAAAATCAACTAACAGCAGAAGGGACAGTAGCAACCAAGAAACCATAGAAAGAAATGAAAGATCTCTCGTTTTGATCGGTTGATGGAGAAGAAAGAGAACAATAGTGAACACCCAAATCATCACTTCTGGAGACGTCTGAGGTGTTGAATTTTCCAGTAAGCTTTTTCTTTTCTTCCTTTTTTTCCTTTTTGCGATCTATTGTAAACATCAAATATTTTGCATGTGGTTTCAGGCTGAAACCTCCCCTCCCCCCCCTCAAAAAAAAAAAACCAGAAACAGGAGAGAGAACTTAGATTTGCCTTTACGAGGAAGAGAGAAAAACGGGAAGACCTCCTTCGTTCTCCTTGGCAATAGCGGGCTCTGGAAAGCACATGTGATTCGAAAGGAACTTAAGTCTTAACACGATTGGATTGCTGTCACGTGCGACTCTCAATCTACTCACACACCCAAATCATCACTTTTGGAGACGTATGAGGTGTTGAATTTGTTGTTAGATAGTTATGCCTTTAGTTCCAATCAGATTGATGTATCTTTTGACATTTATTGTAAATGAATAAAGTACATAATTGATTCATGTCATTGTGGTGTGTGTTTCTGTGTAATACCCTTAAGCTAGATACTTATGAGACTCGTGTTAGTTTAGAATCTTTATAACTGTTGGATAAATCTGGGGAGATTTATCCTGCTAAGGCTGACACTGATGTACCGCCAAGTTGGTCGGGGTGGCTTGTTTCACCTGTCAGGGTGAGACTTGAGGTACAAGCAGTGTAATTTTTCTTGAAGCCCTGAACTAGACTGAAATTCTAGTATTGCTCTGGACCTTGCAGATAAATTGGCAAAACTGGAATGTTACACCTGACTCTTAGATTAGATTATGGTACTGGACTAGGTGTCGGATCAGACTGTTTTGATATGTCAATCAGTGAGATCCTTGGAGAGGGGTCAAAACCTGGGTATGTTGGGACAATCCGAGAATTCATCTGAGTGGGTGATCATAGTGACAGGATCAACCCCTTTGTCGAACAAAGTGAATGATCGGGGATGCACTCTCTCTGATGGAAACCTAAACTGTCGCCAGTTGATTTCAACCGTTGAAATTTGTTTTTGCAAAATATGTTTATATAAAGATATACATACACATATATTATGGTTTCAAAATGTCTGCAAAAGGGAGATGTCATCTTTTGTCGTACAGTGTTTGATCATTATGGACTGAGAGGTTAAGTGTAAGACCATTTAGGGTAATGTTTGATGGGCTAATCTTGCATCTGTCAACAGCCCTTGGATTTTCGTAAGGTGGTTGGACACAAGGACCATTTAGTGTAAATGTTGGGCCCATTAAGAGTCCATGGTGATGGACTCAGGGATTCACTGTCTTCTAAAGTGAATTTGGTCAGGCCTTGTAACAAAGACTGAACTGAACCCATATGGCTTATGTGTAGATCAATGTTTGGGTCTCACGCCATACAAGGAGAGCCAACTGTCCAGCAGGTTAAGAGGTTAAGTGAGCACATAAACTTAATGGGCCTAAAGCCCAATTTCAAACTGGGTTAATTAGATTAATTAAATAGGAGCAAGTTTGGGTTTGAATCAGCAAATAAGGATAAGAGGATAAGTCTTATCCACTTAAAGAGTCCARATCCAAATAAAGRTTTGGATCAGGAAACTCCTAATTTGATTAGGATCAAACTGATCTTAAACTGTAGATAAGATAATGGATTATCCTTATCACTTAAAGAGTCCAGATCCAAATAAAGATTTGGATCAGGAAACTCGTAATCAGATTAGGAGGTTGACTCTTTAAGACTATAAATAAGAGAACAGGGCGAACATGAAAAAGACATCAGACAAGATACAACAATCTGCAGAGTTCTTCCATGTTCTTGCAGCCCCTACCCAGTTCAATTTCCACTTATGGGAGTGATCAAGAATTGTTCTTGATATTGCTTCTTAGTAGAAGAAGCAATCTGAATTCGTGCTCACCAGCCCTCTACCCCATTCTTGCTGAAGAATCTGGTTCTTGTTGAAGAGTTGTCCTACTGGTTCTGCTTCACCTCACACTATGTTATCTTTAGAGGAAACAGTTTTTAGTCTTCTCCTTGGGCGTGAACACCTTCTTTGGGAGTTACTATTACTCTGTATCAGGTATATCCCTCTCCTCCCTTTTGGTTTCAGATCTGATCCGGTTTGGTTCAAAATGATCATTGAAAAGACAGTTTTCTAAAATAAGGGAATGCGATTCCCAAATAGGAGAGAAAATTTTGAAATTTCGCCCAACCTTCCTGTAGGGTTCGGCCATCCAACAGTAGCATTAGAGGAAAAAACAGCAAACGCCAAATCTTTTGCATGTGGTTTCAGGCTGAAACCCC